GGGGGGGGGGGGGGGGGGGGGGGGGGGGGGGGGGGGGGGGGGGGGGGGGGGGGGGGGGGGGGGGGGGGGGGGGGGGGGGGGGGGGGGGGGGGGGGGCTGTGGGCATGCCCAGGGCAAGTCTCCCCCTCTGGTTGTGAAAGCCAATATGTACGTATGCATACAATACCACATCGCATGTGCTCGAAAACTTTCCCTCTAAACCGCACGGCCTCGGCCTTCAAAAACCTCGTTCCGGGATGCTGCAGGCAAGGAGTCAACAGAGGGAGTACTTCGTATCAAGACGCCGTCGTCAAGGCGGTCCACGCCTATGAAGGATTTGGACGTGTGTTGAATTTCGCGGCCCACACTCATGCAGGATCATGAATTTTGAGAGGCAGGAACACGTGTTATCTTGCACTGTTGAAGCCACAACACCAGGGAGCCCCAGGTTATGACCGCGTTTTTTCAAAACATACATAAACTCACAGAAAGACTAAACTAATGGTTCGAGATATAACTACAAGTTGTCGAAAGGGATGTGCTGAAGTCTTTTCAGTGAGAGGAGGGAAAGCGGCTGGAAACTGGGCTTCTTGTGAGTTTCAGCCTGTACACTGAATTGTACTTCAGTGATGCCAGTCGGTGCCAAGAACGAAAGCATCTGCGTAGGTGGGTACATTTTACAACACATCTTCTCCAGTTCTCTACGGGGTCGACGACAAAATTATCGAGGAGAAGCCCTCCGCAATGTCGTGTGTTACAAAAGGTGGAACACGGTGCAGTGTCGTTCTTGTTGCAGAAGTTCCTCAGTGGCTGATATCCTCCTCCCCCGGCGTGCCACCAATTCCCCTACCCTGAACCTAGACATCATCGAACGAGTGACGCACGTGACACAACGGTTGGGAGAGGCTCCAGAAGTCGAGGAGGTGGAACGGGCAGCGAAAGGCCTGAAGAACTGGAAGGCACCCTCCCCCCCTGCCGAGTTGCTCAAAATCGATGACGACGAACCCTTCGTCCTCGGGCAACTCCATACCATCCTCGTGAAGGTGTGGAACGGACGAGGTATTCCGCGAGAGTGGAAGGATGCAACCATCAAGGTGCTGTACAAGAAGGGTGACCGGTCCAACTGTAACAACTACAGGGGGATTTCGCTACTATCTCACATAGGCAAGGTCCCCATCAAGATCATCACCAACCGTCTAAGCGCCTTCTGCGAGGCCAACATCATCCTCCCGGAGGAACAGTGCGGATTTCGACCCGGGCGATCCACCGTCGACATGCTGTTCGTCGTGCGCCGCCTCCAGGAGCTGGGGCGGAGAACGAAAATGCCGATCTACATGTGCTTCGCCGACTTGAACAAGGCGTATGATTCGGTGGACCGAGATGCTATGGAAGGTGGGCCAGGGCCGGGATTCCCGCGAAGCTCATCAAAGTCATCCGCCAATTCCATGATGGAATGCGGGCCCGGGTGCGCATGGACGACGGAGAACTATCGGACTGGTTCTTCGTCACACAGGGCGTGCGACAAGGATGTGTGCTATCCCCACTGCTGTTCAACATCTTCTTCGCCGAGAGGTCCTCGAGGTCGTTGTCATCCGATTCAGCGAGGATGATGTTGTTCTGCGGAGCCTGGTGTGCTTGGAGGAGGGGAAGACGGAAGCGGGGGAGGAGACACCCCTTGACAGAGTACGGAGGGCAGTATGGGGGATGCTGGATGCCGATGATGCCTTCGTCGCATCGAGGTCTGCAGAAGGACTGGCGAGAACGATGACCATCATCGTTGAGGTGTTCGGGGAGTTCAGGCTAACGGTGTCGGAGAAGAAGACGGAGACGCTCCTGATGCGCGCGAAGGACAAGCCGACTACAGCATCACAGACCCCCCCGCCTCCACCGCTGACCATCGAAGCCGCGGGACAGAAATACGCCCAGACGACCGAGTTCCGGTACCTCGGTGGCCTCGTCAACGAACATGGCGACCTCACCCGGGAGATCAACTACAGGAGCAGAGGAGCGTGGACGTGCCTCAGGCGATATGGCCGGGAGCCCTTCGACAGACCGAAAGCGCCATTCCGACTCAAGATCCCCCTGCTCCAGGCGGAGGCGATGGAGGCCCTGCTGTACGGCTGCATGACATAGTCACCGCTCAACGGCCACTACCAGTCGCTGCGGTTGATACACCACCGACTGCTCTTTCGAGTCATCGGGTACAAGCGCAAGAAAGACACCTACCGGCAGCTTTCCTACGCCCAGACAGTTGTTGTTGGATGCGCTCGTGCGAAGGGGGGTGAGGGGTTCTGAGAGATGCACAAGCTTTTCTCCATTTTTGCGTTTTTTTTCCATCCGTGTCGTTGAGGGAAATTGCTTTTATCCGGGGGGCTGAACTATTGCCATCCCTTTTGTGGGCCAGGGCCTCCCTCCCTGGCCTCACGTTTTCGTTCGCTTGCCCAGATCGGATGCTAGAGTGTTGAAGCCACGATTCGACAACGACGCCTACTGTTCGCGGGAGAACTGGCAAGGCAGCCGGACGGGCGACTCCCGAAACGACTGATGCTCGGCGAACTGGCGGGGGGGGAGAAGCGCCGTAGGGAGGGACAGGAACAGAACTGGCCGAAGTGTGTGCTCGACGACCTGAAGGCATTCGGGGCCGACCACGGATCTACGAAAACCGATCCATGTTGTCTCGGAATCCCGGTACCGAACGACACGGCACCGAAGTTAGAGTGGACGGAAGCCGCGAAGGTGGAGGGGGGAGTACCCTGGCATGCGGCGGTGCTGCAGGGAGCTGAGAGGTTCATGACCTCCTGGCACGAGAAGGAAGAAGAGGCTAGCCGACGACGGGCGCTCAAACGAAACCACAAGCCAACAACCAATGGGGCGGGAGGGGGGCAGGAGACGGACGAGCCGGCGAGGGAAGAAAGCAAACGAGAAGAGACGGACCGAGTGGCGCGACACGTGCCGGATTGAATATTTTTTAGCCAATTCCCCCCCCCCAAACGCTGAACCATTGCACCAACCCCCCGCTAGTGATGACGTACCATAACAATGTATCGCTGGTTGGTAGCCATGTTTGCGTGTTTGATCGTTAGTGGTCTCTCCACCGTGTGCGTTTTCCTGGCTCTTCTTTCTTGCTTTTTTCGGCCTGGTCCCTTTTTGTCCTCGCTCTGTTTGTTTCACTTTCTCTTTCCTTACTGTTTTCCTTTTTCTTCTTCTCTGGTACTCTTTTTTCTCTCCTTTTCCGTGGCAGATGGCCTTGTCTCTTCTTGCACTGTGACGTACCAAGATAAGATTGAACCAAGGGGGTGTACCTCTTTCTCTCCGGCCCGTGATACTGACTCCCGTAGCCTCAGTTGTTACCATGCATAGCGCGCAGAGGGAGCGGAGGACTCCAGAGTATCTGTCGTTGATTTCAATTGACTTGCGGACCCCTCGGGGGCAGTTTATTTGAGTGTACCTTTTTAGGGTAAGTTAGCCTGTGACCACGGGAATCGACCGCGTCGAGTATTGGATCAGTATGGAGATATGAAGGTACTAGGTAGAGAGAGATCGGAACGATTTTAATGTGAAGACAGCAACAACAACAACAACAACAACACCGTCTGTCGCAGAAGTGGCTCTTCCCATGGAGTATGGGCCTTCATGTCTTCTGATTGGTGGAGCGTTGGTTCGGGCGGTCGATTACCTTCAAGCGCCCTCTCTCTGTTCAGCGATTCAGCCGCGTTCTCGCCAAGTTATCGGCCGCCAGTTGTCCGCGGGCGATGGTAAGGGTTAGGGATG